GTGCAATACTATCAAAACCAAAAATACAAGATGGGAGAAGATATACACACTACCCATACATATAAACAAAGAATGGTATATTAGTGTTACAGTACTCATAACAACAAACAAAATATAAGACATTATCAAATGCTGCTTCTCAAAATCAGTACCTAGTCCCACAGGCATCCCATACATAACACTTAAAAAACTTTCAAGTAAATTACTCGTCTTCATCACAGACCTCTTCAACAACATTCTCAAACAAGAAAGAGTATCAAAGGAATAAAAAAGAGGTAATATCTATTCAATCCCCAAATCAAAGCCCTGGAAAAATAATATCAATATTACAAAACCAATCACATTACTCGAAACAACTAGAAAAGTCTTCACAAAAATCCTAATCAATAGACTAGCCAAGATATTCCAATCACACTGGATCCTCTTCATATATAACTAGGCAGCACTACCAGGATCTAGTATACAAGAACCAATACATATTCTTTGAACAATTCAAGATAATGCAAGGCAAACCTATAAACAAGCTTGGATTCTAAGTTTGGACATGGCCAAAGTATTTGATTCTATAAATATCTCTAAACCAAAGAAGCTCTCAAAAGAATCAAATGCCCAAACAAAATTATTCAAATAATTACAAACATTTGTGATAATTGACAAAATAATGTACGCACATTCTTTAGACTCTTACTCCAATATATAGTAGAGAATAGTATTGATCAAAGAGACACAATATTACCTCTCTTATGAAGAATTTTTTATAACCTACTCATTACACACAACTCTGAACAAACCAGAAAATACACTAATAGTGAAACAATAGTCAGATCATATAATACCACCTAATATAAAAATATAGAATATTTTATGTATTGCTTTTATAGATAATACAATTCTATTTACAGATAACAGCATTAATCTTCAAGATATATATGACATCTGTTTAGACTTTTATAGAATCAATGACATTAACATCAATGTTATAAAATCAAATCGTATAGTACCCAATGCCAATTCAAACTTAAACAACACAGTTCAAATTCAAAACCAATCCATATATATGCTCAAACCAAATCAAGCAGCAAGAATCCTAGGCATTTATCTCAAAGATAGAGGAACCAAGACCTTTTAATAACAACTAATCAAAGACAAGACAATCAAATATGTTAATACAATCAAATGGAAATTAACAACTAATAAACAAATATGATACCTTCACAATCAAGTCTGAACACCAATGATTACATACCTGCTTTCAAATATGATCCTAACTGTGATAAGATAATAAGCATCTTCAATATAACCTACAAATATAAACTCCACTTAGTCCAATCTGTATCAAACTCCATACTCTTCAATTCAATGTAATATAGATTTTTTCATCTTTGGGATGGGTAACTTCTACTACATATAAACAACTGATATAAAAGAGTTAACAGATAGAATATAATAGAAAAGATCACAACCATATGCCTACAAGAACTTTAAAATAGATAGTGATTTACCAAAACTATTACAAGCACCTATTTCACAAACATCTTTCTATCACAAGATTATGATTTTACATATGATCTAATCTATTTTCTTAGACAAAACAGATTCACGGGCATTAATTTCAATCTTTAAGTGATTAAAAAAATAGACATGACAATATAAAAAGTACTTATCCAGGCTGGTACAATAAACATCAGAAATAGTTAACAAACAATCAAATTTTCTGTATTAATCAAATCACAACTATGTAGGATCATGTCTAACTACCTGGGTGAAGATCATAATCCCCAACAAAAACCCAATAGGAAGAAACTAACATAGTTCTGAGAGCTACAACAAAACCAAGAGATAGTCAGGTTAATACAGAATAGATATGCAAATAACAATAATATAAAACAAATTTATAGACTAGCCATAGAAACATCAAATCAGAAAATCAAATGGATTGCCATAATATAAACAGACGAAAATATCATCTGCAGGAAAAAAGCCATTACTAATAATACTGTTAAATTATAGCATTACATACATATTAGCAATAACTTATTCTTTCAGAAATATCAAGAATATGTTTTAAATACATTAGGAAAACAAGAAGAATGTATCTTTTTCAAGGAAAAAAAACAGTCTTATCTGTATTTCAGTACATAAAAGCAAAACTAGCTTCAGAAACACATCCAGTAATAATCTTCGTCAATATAGCAGAATCTCACACAACAGTTTAAATAAACTTCTCCTAGACAAACTAGTTCATGACAAACTTTCATCACCTCTCACCATTAATAACAACTCTATAACATATACAAAAGACTTATCAAAAAATTTATAAATACAACAGAAAGCATACTCATTGAACTGGTCATCATCTGATAAACAATTCATAAACTCAAAAATATCACAATATATATCGATGGCTCCTTGAATACAGACTATAGAATGGGTTTCAGATGGCATATAATCCAAACTTCAGGAATCAACTTTAAAGAAAAAATAAGTAACTACCTTTCTCCACAAGAGCTGAATTAATTACTATTGCATCATTCTTAACAACAGCTTCAGCAAACAGTAACATTACAATCTGCAGTGACAGTCAAGTAGCACTCGATGCTATTTTCAAAGCCCAAGAAAACCCAACTCATACCAGAACACTAAAAAATAGTATTCTAATTAATATAATTAATCACATTACTAAACAACAAAGACTTAATATAATATGGAGAAAAATCAAAGCACACAACAACAATCCAGACAATGATAAAGTAGACATGCTTGCCAAGGAAGCAACCATTATAGACAAAGCCTCAAAAATCAATTTTACTCCTATTAAAGATAGCCAGAGCCCATGGATCCAAGATTGAAATAAACAAGTTTTAGATAATGCAATATTAGAAACTGCAAGAAACCTTATCAAAGCAAGACACATCTTCAGCTGGAGAATGCTAGACTGCAATCTAACCTCAATAAACAACAACACACGACAAAACATAATATAGATGGAATCAATAATTCATAAACTCCTATCTCAAATAACAATAGATACAACTAATAAACTTGATCATAACACCAGATTCTTCAGACTAAGATTATGGAACTTAGAATTGCCAACCAAAAACAAGTTACATAAAAGGGTAGCAACAATATACAAAAATAATCTCTGAATTAACTGTTAACATATCGAAACCAACATCTATACAATGATATGTCAAAGGCAATAGTGTAAATATCTTCAAAACACTACTCCAGATAATCAATGAGGAAATTGGCAATAGAAAACAACAAACTTCTCAAAAAACACTAAACAACAAACTTAAAAAAATAGAAAGCGAATGGACTTCTGAGGAAAAAAACTATATTGCAAGAGAGGCATTAACAAAAGATCTCCTAAAAATAATAAAGAAATATACAACAGCAGAAAATTAAAAAGAAATTCTCAAAAATATTATAGATGGATTCTTGACCATCCTTCAGGACAAATGGCAACTGAGGTATTAGCTCTTTTCACAATGGAAAATGAATCAAAACATAATCAAAAAAGATAAAAAAAATGGAAAACACTAGATAGAAGAATCACTATGCACAAATTATACATCTCAGGAATCAATGAAATCATAAAACACTCTAGTTAACACTAGATTGACTGGAACACATATACAGTATTCTTTCAAAACAAATTTTTATGGACAGATAGAGCCTTGGCAGATTAGTCAAGTATATACCAGTACTTGGCAATAAGCCACATGGTAGGACTATCCTTAGTGAGTTTAATTGGGTAGCTAGAAAGTTAAATTTGTACATACTCACAATAATATCTAATAAACAAGGTATAAGCCATCTGTTAAAAAAAAAACATATTCAACAATACTTTTTTTTATCAATATTTATTTTTCTTAAATAATAATATTACTGAATTTATAATATACTTATACTGTATTTGCAATTGCAAATACAGTAAGTTGCAAAGTTATAGGATATTGAACCAATAGTTTTTTTTTCATAACTATATTTTCTATCATAATTCAGTTCAGAGTTCAAATAGAGAATATTAATTAATAAATAAAAACTCTATAGCATGATTCCATTAGTGTTTAAAAAAAAAAAAAGTAATATAGAAATCAACAAAATTCTGATTAAGAGAATAATAATTTAGTAAGACTTCTGGATATAAACAAAATATATACTAGCCTAATGGTTAGAACATTAAATAGTATTAAAGCTAAAGTATATTATATATCCAAATATTTCTTTACATTCAGAAAATAGAATTTTATAGTAGTTTACTTTGTAAACATGCTTGCTTATAAGGCATAGTTTACAGAATGTTAATCGGCCACCTAACAATATTTCCATGTAAGATTTTTATATCGAAATAATTAACGAATGACTATAGAAAGATGCAAATAAATTACCAATGCTCTGAATCATAAATGTATATAAATTTTTCGATTCTTCCGCACTTTTATCCAAATAATTTCGTAATAAGGAAACGTGCTTTGGATCCGTGTTTTCGGGTCCACCAGATACTTCGATAAACATAATCTCCTTATTGCTTGAATTCCGTACACCCAAACTATCAGCTTGGTTTATTGTTAAATTGAATTTCGGAAATATCTTCACTTCCCTCATGCAATCCAATTCGATTTCGATCCAGTGAAACTTGTATTCTTTATATACTGATTGGATTGCTTTAAACAAGGGAACGATCCTTTCAACAATAAATGTACGTTCACCGATGTGTCGTTTTAATGGGCCTTCCTTTGTCGTGAAATAACTAATATAAAATAACAAATATATCAGTAAATTTATAAGCCAAGGAAAATAAATAAATAAAATATGAATTCATGATGTATATACAAATCGTAAAGAACGAATTCGCAGATTTGACGAAATTTATGATCCTCTAGCCTTGCCTCTGTACTCAAAGGGGTCATGATTTCTTTCATAAATTCTTCTTTTGATGACTAGATTAAAAAAACTTTAATAAATACAATTTGCCATCAAATATAAGGAAATTAATGATAATTTACTGATAACACTGTTACAAGCCAATTACGAATTACACTAGAAATTTCTGCTGAAGTATGATTGTCCTTTATGATTATTCCTTGATTATTTACATTTATCTTTATATGATTTTGTAGATAGGTAACGGATTCCTTAAAAAGCACGGACTTTTGAGGAGTAGCTTGTATATGATTAACATTATGTCTTGGAAGTGGAGTCCCCGGGGTTTGGGTGATAGGGTTTGTAACTATGACAGTCGGTAATTGTTCTTGATTTAGCAACATTGAAGAATCTTCTTCATCCTTATTTGTGATAGTTAGAAATGGGCAATGAATTTAGTATTTAATACACCAACAATAAAAAAAATATTATTAACGAAACATCACCGAAGAAATCCTAACTCAAATCCATGTTACTTACACTCCTATTATCACATCTCACTGTCGATTCGGGTTGCTTTTCTTTACTGATCTTTCGCTAAAATTAAATATAGTGTCTTTTAATATTGATTTGCATGTTGTCGCTTTTTACAATGATATTAATGGTGTTGTCTACCTTTTTTTGTTGATTATCCGAATCGGAGGAAACAGTAGAGCTATTACTCGGTTCATACTGATAACAAATACATAGCTTTGGTCATGAAAACGGATATCGATCAATCAATCCAAATTTCAACTTACATCACCATCATAATCATATCCATGTTTTCTTTTATCGATCTCCTGTTAAAATATGTACAGATACCTTTTAATATTAATCTATATATCATCATTTGCATTGATATATTACTTACCTTCTCTTCACGATCTGAATCGGAGAAATCAAGATCATCACTGGAAACGTACTTATAAAAATACACTCCAGTTAGAAAAATAGTTACATAATGATCACATAACGTCTACTTACTTCACTGTCAGTCTCGATCGAATAATCATCAGGTTTAAAATTAGCGATCATTCCTATATAATGCGATTTAAGTTTCGCTGTATTTAAATCACCTGACTTCTGTAGTAGTTCGGAGCTATTTTTATCAAAAGACCTTTCAAGATTACGTTGATTTTGCCTCTACAACGATAAATTTATATTTTTAAATATATACAACGCTTTATCATGCAAAACTGCAATTACTTACTGCCTCAAATTCCTTGTCCAATTCCGCAAAAAACTCATCAATTTCGTGTCTTCGAAAAGTATCACTGATATTATCGGATATTTTCTTTAACCGTTTTTTTTACCCCAAGCTGTACAATAGGCGAATCAATAACCCTTTCGACCGTCCTTGTAAGCGCATCCTGGATACCGTGTTTGCTATCTGAAGTGAATACTAATTTATCTTTCAGATACTTAAGACACTCAAGTCCTTAAGATTGGAATTGTACACATATGCATCCGTATAATAATATCTAAAAAGAAGGCTATTGTTAGTGATATTAAACATACTTTAATAAACTAATCTGTTGGACAACTACAATAGCAAACGTTTTAATGACAGTATATATTCTGGAACAGAGGCCCAGGCTGAGGCACTAAGAGCTATTACAACACGTAACAAGTCATAGCGATTTACCCACAGCACTCTAATCCAAGCATCGGCCAAAGGGCGGAACCATATGGGCGTAGGATACCTTCAACGATTATAACAAAAAAATACTTAACTGAGATAGTATACTGTAACTGGGGATCGCATAAATGCTGAAACGCTCGTGACATGAATTTATCACGTAATCAATACGGGTAGCCAATGTTGTCGTCTAAAATGATCGACAAATCATAATCCACAACAGCGTTGACTATCAGCTATAACGGACCCCGTTCCCTCATTATAGCGGGCCAATATGCCAGAACAAAATTTTCATTAGTGATTTTCTCTCGTTATTACGGAATTTATAATAATATTACTTAATATAGTGAGTCCGCAATAGCGGGCCACAAATCAGAATTGTAACCCGATCGTAAATTGTTGGCGGCAAAGCCTATTGATAATGATAATACACCGTCTCTCATACACATTCAACAAACTGAGGATGAACAGATACGTGAAATGGATGATATAATTGCAAGACTATTAACAATCCAATTAATTCTAGTGAGTTTTTGCGCTTGAATGACGTTTTACCAATTGAAGAAATGCCAGACGACATGACATTAATCGAACAAATACATTCTGAACATATAAATAATGAAGATATTCAATCAGATAATGATGATGATACTTCAATTGAATCGCCAATTTCTTTTACAACAAAATGATGATTTTGGCATTTCTGTAGAGGAAACATCAGTCGTTAGACGTATAGTATAATACAATTATCATGCAAACCAAATTGCCTCGTAAAGGAATTACCGGGAAATTTAAGAAAAGGGTTTATGGTAAAGAATTATATGTATATTTGGTCACGTTACCTTTGTTAACACTGTTAATAACGTTTATAATTTACATTAGAAACTTATTCGTAAAATGACGCCCACACCCATGCCAATGGTTCAAGAAATATGTTGAGAATTTGTATTAGATTTTAAGAGGCGTGAAATCGAAACGAAATCAGCCAAATTAATACAACGATGGGGCTTGGAAAGAATCGGAAGAAGATATCAAATGCGTGGTCAAAGAAATTCTTAATGTTTTGAAAGATATTTGGAATGACTCAGCATTCGATCCCGAACTCGCAAAGACATTAAATGAGGGGACATACCAATCAACTGTCATTGTAACTGTTATTAGAGCTTCATTGAAAAATCTCCCCGTCGGAGACGCTTTTTTTATTAGTACGTCGGAAAAGCAAAGTATTGCAAGTGCTAATAGAAAGGGAGAAGGTTACATGGGAAGACGTCCAGATATTATGCTTGTAGTGAAATACCTAGAGACGGTTTTTGAACTCATGTATGTAGAATGCTCTCGTTTAATTTCTAGTCCACAAAAAAAAGACCGACGATGAGATTAAGTTATGGCGAGAAACTAATGACGGACTATATTGGATACGCCAAAGTCTTAAACCGGATAAGGATCAGTTTTGTATTGTAGGTATTCAAGTAGCAGGTAATGTATTGCACTTGAATCTTCTGGTACGAGATATGGTTAATGTTCACCGATATTACCATTTACAATCTGCTGAGATTCCTGTACAATTTTCGGATGAAGCCGTTGTAACTAAATTTATAGAAACTTTTTTACTTTTACGTAACATATTAATTATAAATGTATCCCTGCTATATCAAGCGTCTATCTCCAACTCCATATCAGCTAAAACAACTTCAAAACATGACAGATTGTTCACCAAATTTAACTGTGGGTTGAATATAATTTTTATTATAAGCTTCGCCTATTTCTCTTCATACTTTTACCTGTCCATCCGATTTAAATAAAGTAAATCTAGATTCATCTGATCATACAATTTGTTTCCATTCTTCTTTCCAATTACATTTAGTTCGACACCATTTTAATCGACGAATTTGTTGGCATTTGGTTAAAAGAGGTTTTTTTCATGTATTATAACTTCTCAAACCAAGATTATAAAGATATTTTCGAATAGTTTTAGAATTATAGGTTGTGTTAAGATGTTTATTTAATTTGTCAGTAATTTTTTTTAAGGATAAAAATCAGTTTTTTAATACGATATATTTCAAGTAATGTTGACCATGATTTGAGAGGGTTATTGGTTGACCAGATTATTTCTTTAAATGAGGAATACCAGTTTTTTTATAATGGTTTATAATGTCATATAACATTGTGTAAGAAATTTTCGGTACAATTGCTATCTTTAGTCTGTTCGAACCTGCGAGATAAGCACTGATTATTTGATCTCTTTTTTCAGTAGACAATTCATTTTCGCACATTTTTTAAAAAAAAAAATCTATAAAAAAAATTGTTTTATAAGTATAATCATCATTTATTTTTATGTCAAAAAATGAAAATGAATAAAATAAATTTTTTCTTTATTGATTGACAATTGTTGATTTTCGGTAATATAGGAGAGAGGTGTATGTATTGTGAAAGTTTATAAACTATTATAAATTTTGATTTACAGTAGTGACAATAAATAATGACAATTTTATTTTTTTTAGAAATTACGCTACCCCATCTTTTTTTTTTTGTCATGTCTATATCAAATTTAGTTAGGAATATATTTGTTAAGCTTTTTAGAATAAAAAAAAAAAGTTTTTAGTGTTATCTATGTAACACATGACTTTGTTTGTAGAATGTCATCTCCTCATTAAGAGGTTTTGGGATTGTTATAATATATGCAATGTTAAGAAGTTATTTCATCATTATGTATCTTAGTTAAAGAAAAACTTTATTAAATATAAACTAGAAACAAATAACTCTGAGTTGTCAATAAAGGAAAAAGACAACCTTTAAATATATGTTTTTTCAATATAAATAAATATAATAAAAATATATAAAATAATATACATATAATCTTAGTGGTTCTTCCAGAAGATTATATGTATGTAATTAATAAAAAATAAAATAAAATAAAATAAAAAACAATATAATAAAGACAATTATAATGAAAATAACTATTATTATGAATCTATTAATGTTTGTCTATATACTATTAATAATTCAGGTCTTACATCACCTCAGAGCTTCAGGATCAGCAGTAAGGTCATGTGATCTAAAATATCATGTGTTTTAGCAAATCATTAGTATTTTACAGCTGGAAATGTAAATTCTTAATTATTTTGAAATCCTATTTGATAATATTTTTCTGGCCTTTTAATAAATAATGTTTATTTTATTAAAATACCCATAGTTTCTTAAGATTATTTTAGTAGTTATCATTTGACTTTCAGGTATAAAGTCATGCTTTCATTGGGTAACTTAGGTAAACTTGTTACAATTGCAAACATAGCAATTGCAGACATAGAGAAATCAATAAACTCAAAAAACTCATCAGATTTTCTAGTAAAACACTTTATAGATAGATCGTTCAACCTGCTAGTACTGGATAATTGAGACAGAGCAAGTGTCCTAGCCATCCTTAGCTTCTTGACCTTGCATAAAGAAAGTATATTAAAAAGATCGCCATAGAAAATAGAACCACAATAAGCAAAGAACTAGCCAAAATACTCAACAATACTTATCAAAGCCTTAATATTTCACCATAAACAATTCGTAATAACCTTCAGAAACTTGAATATAAAATATGCATTTTCTATAAAGTTTCCCTTCTTAATAATACAACTATGGAACATTGACTTATCTAAGTATAAGAATACCAAAATAAATAATGATATAAAATAATTTTTTCTAATGAAGTCACCTTTCAGATATTTCTCAATATGATACAAGTTCGTTATAAAGTTGAAGAGCCATTTCTATCTCGAGAGGTATAAAACACCTATTTAAAGTTCATGTATGAACTTCGTTTTACAACAAGGAAATTATTGATTTCCATACTTTTACAGAAAACATAAATAACAAATATTATTATGAAATAATTACCCAAAACTTATTTGAACATGCTAATAGGGTCCTAGATTATAGATGAGTATTTCAGCAGAATAACGATCTTAAGTATCATGCAAAGCTTGCCATCGATTTGTTATAGAAATAATGTTCGCATGTACTTGATTGATCATTTTTATCCCAAATCTTAATCTAATTGAGAATCTGTAGACCTTATTGAAAAAAAAGTCGAAAAAAGAATTAATTTTGAGATTTATAAAAAAATAGTTTCGCAAAGTGATTTTACAAGTTTAATAGAAAAAGAATGAAAGAAAATCAATATAAATTTATATCACAAATTAGTACAATCAATGTCTAAGAAAATAAAATTAATAATAGACAATAAGGAAAATGAGACAAAATATTAAAAAAAATAAATAATAGATTTTAAACTATACAGTAGCTCACAAAAGTCTTATATTACCTATCAATTTTTATTAATAAATATTAATTTATTTTATTTTAATAAAAAATTCATTAATTATAATATTATAAAATAATCAAAATTTTAAATTATATATTATATATGTAAATTTATTTTTTTATTTATTTTTTTTTAAAACCCATGGTTAGGTCAGTACTATGTGTTTATTAATTATCAAGAAAACTAATAGAGATACTGTACATAGGGCAATTTTATCATATCTAAACTAAAAGACTCATACCAACATACTCATCAATGACTTTCAATTCTCCAAAGAGCTTCAGCCTTAAGTACAACCTTGGGAACAATATTTTACTTTAGATCAAGTTTTGAATAAAGATCTTTATAACTTATTTATTATTGCCAGCAGATTGTTACTACTTATTATTCTTCAAGGAATAATTTTGAGAAAATACAAAAGGGAAAAGGAAAAAGAAAAGAAAAAAAAATCTCTAAAAATGCACAATTATGCTATATAAAAATAAAAAAATAAAATAAAATTAAAGTACTTCATATCTTTCAAAGGATTTCTACTAAAAACCTCTTCTAATTAGAAGTCAACTCTTTTGGGATATCCTTCTTCTTTCTAATCATCCAAGAAACTTATCCATCTATAATCTTGATTATTTTCTTGTGACTGTCTGAGATACTTATCACCTACTCAGATCCAATGTCTTGTTCAACACTTCCTTTATTTCGTCTTGCTTTTGTATTCAC